TCTCTCTCTCATATTATAATGCCATTACTATACCGGACAGTCCAGTAAATCATCAAGTTTCAGATCTGCCAGAGACATCAGCGATCATGTTTCGCCATTCATTCCTTTGCTAGGATGCTTTCAAATTAGCTGGAGTTTTTCTTGCATTTTCACATCCTGGGCTATTCCCGTCACCTTCAGTAAATATCGACCACTGACTATACCGGACCGTCCTGTAAAAACTGACCACAACTGTACCAGCCAGCCCAATGAACATTGACCACTAACTACGCCGAACCATCCAGTAATAAGTTTTGACCACTAACTACATACCGGGCAGTCCAGTAAATATTGACAACTGTACAGGACAGTCTAGTAAATATTATAATGACCACAGCAGTACCAGCCAGTCAAATGAACATTGACCACTAACTATGCCGAACCATCCAGTAATAATAAGTGTTGACCACAACTACGCCGAACTTTTATACGTCTCTTTTGACCTTTGCTCTTGTTGATTCTGCTGTGGTGTGGAGTAAAAAAATATGGCCTTGATGCGTATACATGCCACTGGTGCGCACATCATTGTTTGTAAATATGCTATGTCTCTCTCTCTCTCTCTCTCCACCCCCTCTCTTCTCTTTCTCTCATTCTGCTTTGCCCCCCCCCCCTCACCCCTGTCTTCAACCCCACTCACTCTCCCCTTCTCTCTCTCTATCCCCCTCCCCTATCCGTCTCTCTCTCTCTCTCTCTGGGTGCAACAGCGGTGTGCATAGCCACTACGCCGGTGTGCTTTAGTTTTGATAAGAGTTTTACGGTACTTGCAAAACAATAAAGTAATGTAAATGCCCAAGATTAGGTGTAGCACGTCAACCTAAGAAAACATTAAATTTAGATCTATAATGTAAAAAAACAAAAAAACCCGACAAAACCCTAGACACCCTTACCCCCCCCCCCAAAAAAAAAAAACCAAAAAAAACAAACAAACAACAACAACCAAACAACAACAACAAAAAACAAAACAAAACTGAAAAAACACAAACTCCAAAATAAAATAATACAAATAAATGCTCTGCCCCTTCTCTTCTATCAAATACCGGCCGTCTTTATCTCTCCTCATTCTTTTCTTTGTATGTTGGTCTCTGGTAACACCTCTAATCTTCGGTTCTTATATATTTTGTGCTAATAATTGTGTTGCAAGTGCCGTAAAACTCTAACTTTAACTTACACTAGAGGTGACCACCAGCGGTCATTGCCCCGTCAATTTCAAGGCTATCTAACCTATGTAAATGTCACGGCTGTTCTCTCAGTTCGATTCCACGTCCGAAAAGAGAGCGTGACGTAATCCCAAGCGTGTGACGTAATACGTGTTTATAAATATCTGGCTTTCCGGTGGAGAACTCCGGGAGAACTTTTTTAAGTTTGGGTGAATGTAACAACAGTCAGGTTGGATTGCCCATTGAGTATAGAGGGCATTGACCTGACCCAGAGCGCTGCTTCTGGGTCACAGTGGTGTAGGTGCAATTTTATACAGGGATAGGAAACGGCGACACAGGAAACTACGGCCAGAAAAAGTTCTGTTTTTTTTTCATCCTTTCTGAAATACATGTTCATACATGAATGTTTTAGTATTATGTGTATTTCCTCTGTGCCGGGATTTTTTAAATACCTTTTGGAGAGGCGTGGGGAGAGAAATAGAGATAGCAGATAGAGAGAGAGAGAAGCAGAGAGAAAGAAAGAAAGAGGGTGTGTGTGTTTGCGTGGGTGTGTGTGTGCGTGTGTGAGAGAGAGAGAGAGAG